AAAATGGAGAGAAAATCCAAAAATGAGGGAGAATCATATAAAACAGGAAGAGAACGCTAAAAATAGAGACAGAAGCATCAGGGACACCAAAAATGGTGAGAGGAACAGCAAGAACCCCAAAATCCGGGGTGGGGAGAGAGAGAAACCAACCAGGAATCTCAAAATTGAGGTGAGGGGACAAAAAAACCAGTCAGGAACCCCAAAATTGGGGTGTGGGGGCAAAAGAAAAGCCAGGAAGCCCAAAACTGAAGAGACTTGTAAAGAACATAAAAATGGGGAACAGACATGTCAGGAACCCCAAAAAACAAGGGGAAAAACATCAGGACCCAAAAAACAGACGACAGACTCGTCAAGACCCCAAAATTGGGGGAGAAAGATCGGAACCCCATAAATGGGGGGGGGGGGGGGGGGGGGGGGGGGCAGGGGGGCAGCAGCACAGTGAGCCCCTACCAGCCCCACCCCACCCCCCCACCTTCCCCTTTCCCCAGGGACGCAGCCCCAGTTTGAACCACTCTGGCCCCATTCCAGCCCCAGTCTGGCCCCATTTCCAGTCAGTCCCAACTCTCATTCTGCCCTATTTTTCCAAAATTTTGGCCCTTACTCTCCTCTTTTGCAGTTTCCTGCCCCTTTTTCCCAGTTCTTGCCCCATTTTTCCCCTGCCTGCCCCATTTTCCTGCAATTACCACCAAATTTTCCTCATTTCTCTTCTTCCTGCCCTATTTCTCCATCCCTAGTTTCCCCCCATTCCTGGCCAACTTTTCCTCATTTTTTCCAGTTTCCTATTTCCCTCCATTTCCTCCATTCCTGCTCCACTTTTCCACATTTCCTCCCATTCTCCCCTCATGTTTCCGGATTTCTCACATTCCTGCCCCATTTTGCCTCTTCCTACACCATTTTCCTCCGTTCCTGCTCCATTTCCCCAATTTCCCCCATTTCAATTCCCCCTCTTCCTGCCCAATTTTACCCATTTCTCCCCCATTTTTTCCTCTTCCCATCCCACTACCCATCCCTCCAATTTTCCCCATTCTGAGCCCTCCCATTTTCTCCAATTCTTCTCAGTTTCCCCCCATTTTTCCCATCCCGAGCGGCCGCATGCTTCACGGGGCCGGGGGGGCCACTCCATGCCACAGCCACGGGAAGGGGAGGGGACACAGGGGGGACATTCTGGGGTGGGGGTGGGGAAAGAAGGGCCATTCCAGGGGGTCATTCGGGGGGGGGTTACATGGAGGGGGGAGAGGGGGCAAAGAAACTGCTCTTGGGGAAGGAAACCGAAGCACGGGGTGGTTAAAATGGGGAGAGGGTCCCCAAATTTTGAGGGGAAGGAAGGGGGTAAAGCTGCTCCGAGAGGGGAAACTGAGGCAAGGGGAGGTTAACATGGGGTGGGGGTCCCCAAATTTTGGGGGGGAGGGTAGGTACCTGCTCGCTGGGACGGAGCGGGAGCGGGGCTAAGGGTGATGACGATGACTGGAATTTTGGGGGGGGGGGGCCATGGGGGAGCACAAGGAGAAAATAAAAAATGGGGGGGAAAAAAACAGAAAGAAAAAGAGAATAAATTATAAAAGAACCTATTGGGGGAACGGGGTTGAATTCGGGGGACAGAACTTAATTTAAATTGGGGGAGTGAATTAAAATAGCGGCCAGATATAAATTTAAATTGTGTGGGGAATTAATTAAACGGGGGAGACAGAAATTAACTTAAATTGGAAAGACACAAATTTAAATTGGGGAAACAAAAATGGACTTAAGTTGGGGGGAATTAATTAAATTAAGGGGGATGAGTTTTAATTAGGGTGAGGCAGAAATTAACTTCAATTTAGGGGGACAAATAAAATTGAGTTGAAGTTGGGGGAACAGGAATGAAATGGGGGTACAGGAGCTTAATTGGGGGGGACAGACATTTAAACAAAATTTAAATGAAGTTAAATTGGGGAAGAGGACAGGGATGAAACTGGGGGAGGGACAGGAACAAAATTCAGCGGAAAAAAAAATAAACTTAAATTGGTAGGGAAATCACCTTAATTTGGGGGGCGGAGTAACAGGAAGTAATTTGGGGGTGATGAATTTAAATTGTGGGGGATAAACATGAGCTTAAATTTGAAAGGGGGGAGGGGAAAGAGGGGAAGAGGGAGGGGGAGCGGAGGGGTCTGCTCCCCCCGGCCCAGAAAATCCTGGAAAATCCTAAAATACTTCTGGAAAATATTCACTGAGGGGTCCTACCTGATGGGGGGGGGTCCTCGTGGTGACAACTGGGGGGGGAAACACCCCAAAAATCCCACACCCAACCCCCCCCGAGCCCACAAAACCTCACTGTGAGTCCCCAAATTCCCCCCTCCATACCCCCCAAATTGCCCCAGACCCCCCCAAAACACCCTGCCCCCCAAACCAGCCTCAAACTCCCCCAAACTGCTCCTAAACTACCCCAAAATTGTCCCAAACACCTCAAAACCAGCCTCGAATCCCCCATAAAACCCCCAAGCCTCACAAACAATCCTTAACTGTCCGAAATTGTCCCTAAACTGCCTCAAACATCACAAAAATGGCCCCAAATACCCCAAAACAGGCTGAAACACCACTAAAAAACCCCAAACTGCCCCAGAATACCCTGAATTGTCCTCAATATCCCAGTAACAGCCTCGGACACACCATAAAACCCCACAACTCCACAAACAGCCCTGAACTGATCCAAAGTGCCCCTGAACTGCCCCAAAGACCACAAAAACGGCCCCAAATGCCCCAGGACAGCCTCAAATTCCCTTAAACCCACCCAGAACTGCCCTAAACTGCCCCAAACACTCCAGACAACCCAAAATTGCCCCAAACGTTCCTAAACCTCCATGAAATCCCCTAAACTGTGCTTAAAACCCTAAAACAGCCTCGGATCCCCCACAGAGTCCCCCCGATCACCCCAGACAAATCTAAAATGTCCCTAAACCGCCCCAAACAGCCCAAAACCAACCCCAAATGTCCCCAAATCCCCAAAACTATCCCCAGCACCCTGGGACGCCACCAAACAACCCGGAACTGCCCAAAAATGTCCCTAAACATCCTCGAACCTGCCTGCAACTCCTCGAACAATCCAGAACTGCTCTAAAATGTCCCTAAACTGCTCCAACGCCCCTAAACTGCCCAAAACACCCCTAAATTGTCCTCAACACTCCAAAACAGCCTCGGAGCCCCCCTAAAAACACTCTGGCCCCACCAACAGACCAGAAGTGCCCCAAAATGCCCCTAAAGTATCCCAAACACCCCAAAACTGCCCCGAAATGTCCCTAAAGTGCCCCAAAAACGCCCCTAAAACCCCCTCGTCCCCCTCACGGGCCCCTCAGTCCCAATCTCCCCCTCACAGCCTCGATCCCCTCCACCCCCCCCCACCGCGGCCTCCCCTCAGCCGCCCCGCCCCCCCCGCCCCGTTTCCCCGGCCCGCCCCAGCCCCGCTTACTGGGGCGGGCGCGGGCAGGGCCGATGTCGAGATTGAGGTCGATTCTCCGCCGCGCCTCGCGGTTCTCCTGCTTCAGCTTCGCCTCCAGCCTCGACAGCTTCTGCTCCAGCGAGGACGCCGCCATCTTCCCCCCGCGTGGCGCATGCGCGGGACCCGCGCGGGGCGGGGCTTGGAGCCCACGCCGGCCGCCGTACAGAGGGAGGGCACAGAAAGCGCAGCCATCTTCCCCGGGATGGATATTGTGCATGCGCAGAAAACTATATTGGGATTATTTGAGTCTCGCCGCCATCTCCCCCGGGAGCCGTCACTGCGCATGCGCAGGATAACGGGAGGCAGTTAAGAGCCTCACCCGCCGCTGTAGATGGGGGAGAATTGACGAGAGGACAAGGAAGGGTTTTGGGTTTCTTTGGCTTCTGTAGGGACGCGGGCGGACGGGGTGGGGGCACGGCAGCTTTTTGACCCCGCTGGCCGCCGTACGGAGAGAAGGCACATGGACGCCGCCATCTTCACCGGTGAACGGCCATTGCGCATGCGAGGGCTTTTTGGGTCTCTGCGGCCGCCGTAGGAAAGCGCGACACAGAACAGCCACAGCTGTAATAAAAATAAACAGAATATATTAAGGTATAATAATAGTAAACCATTTAGTGAACCAGAAGTTTATTTGGTCCCGCTAGCTGCCATAGGGCGGGAGGGGAGGAGAGGATGGGGGAACAGAGCGATTTTTGGGCCTCTCCGGCCACCGTAGGGGGACACGGTGGAGGAGGAGATTCGATATGAACATTTTTGGGCCTTCATGGGCATGTGGAGGCAATTTGAGCTTGTTTAGATTTTTCTGTGTGTCAGAAGGGCTGTATAGGGTACTGGGGATGTTTTAGAGCAGCTCGAAGCACATTAGGAGTGTTGGGGCATTTGTGGCTTTAGTGGCGTCTGAGGTTACTTCTGGGGCACTTTGGGGGCAGTTCTTCCTCTTTTAGCGAAGCCTGAGACTGTTTTGGGGCAGTCGAGGCTTGTTTATGCAGCGGGGCCCTTGGGCACTGCCAGCCGCCGTAGGGATGCAGTAGAGCCAGCTGCGGGACGGCGCAAGCGCAGAGGAGCGCGCTAAGGCGCCGTTGCCTCCGGGGCTGGAGGGGCTCCCCGTAGGCGAACAACGCAGGCGCCCCCTGCCGGGCGGGAGGACCAGCGCATGCGCAGCACCCTCCCATCACTGGGGGGCTCGGAGACTCCCGATAGCCCCCCAATGGCTCCCACATTCACCCCAAATCCCCCTTTTTGGGGGAGACTCTAAGGCGGGAGGACCCCCCGAAAAGGAGGACACCCCGCAAAAGTCCCCCCACTACAACCGTCGAGAATCTGTATTTATTTGTTTCATTTTTCTGTTTTTATTTAAAAAAGCCAAAACGAACCAGGCCCGGGGAAGGGGTAGGGGCACAGACTGCGGGGAGGGGGGAATAGGGGGGTCTCCCCCCCTCGTGGCTAAGGGGTGGGGGGTCTGCACCCCAATTTGCGGGGGGGGGGGGGGGGGGCAGAGAGGGGGCGA